ACAAAAACAATCATTTGCTCCATTACAGATACCACACTTCTCTAAAAGCGAATTCGTTTATTATCGGGTGCGAAACCGAACTTTTTGTCAGTGCAAACCGAGCGAACTGACGTTTGTCAGAAAACAAGAAGACCCAATCTTGATCCCCGATCCAGGTTGGAACTGAATAATAAACGAATTCGCTATAAGAAAAATTGTTAAACATCATTAGATGGATTTGTCATTTGAAACTCTTTAAACGTTTCAGTTAGCAAATTTCATTACAAGCATTTAAGAGAATGTCAGCAGGTAGCTGATTCGTCTCTGGTTTTACTCAATATAAATGTCGTATACATTCTATGCAATGATGTAATACTGACAAACAAAGTATTCTTTATTCTGTATAGAATAGCATTGCATAGACTAACCTGCACAAAATCGTAGTTGGAACGAGCTCCAAACTGTTGTCAAGAAGAAGATTCACCTCAATTCGTTACTGTTGGATAGTAATTTGGGATTAACCACCACCCCTTAGATAAAAGATGCGTCCTCTTTTGACAGCCTAGAGCTGCCCTGGTCACATCCTTGCAACTGGTAGGGATGGGGAAGGAATTATTCTGTATGTACTGAAATGAGTGTGCATGGAGCTCCTTCACATTAGTTATTTAAGCGCTTCCTAAGCTTATCATGGCATGCCTTTGTTTATGGCGTGGTGCCGCCACACGGCGCATGATATTTATGTTATAGTTCTCTATGATATACCGTGCGGGACCGAAATTCGTACAGCACCGAAATCCGTACACCCGGTTGAATTTGTTTATTTATATGCATCATAACAATGTAAATATTATACATGAATACATATTCATGTTCATTCATGCATTAGCTTGATGTTTACGTCAACAATTAAGCAGAATGTAATGCAATTAAAATAAGAAAAATAAAAACCTCATCACGTGTCGGGCATTTCTGTCAATCGGTTGCGTTCTTAAGGGGGTATTCCCAATCTTTTGCCTTTTTTCGGCCTGTTTTTCAATTAATTTTTTTTCAAGGAAAATGAATAGTAATGCGCCTAACTCTTTGGGATTCTTGTTTATTGAACATTAAAGTTTACAAATAAATTTTTTTTGACATAAAAAAAGACATTATTGACGTCACAAAATGGTGGCAAACAGACCCCTGTTCGCCGCAAACGCCTGGACGGGCGAAGACTTTTCTCTGGAACGGCTTCATCTGAAACAGATTTCGTGATGAAATTATAATCTGCATAAGATTCTCTGGAGCTTCTCCCGTTGGCAGCAAAAAATCTTGCAAATTAACAAAATGGCGGCCATATGAAAAAACAGGCGATTTTTAGCCCGCTTTTTTGCAGCTTTAAGGTGCTTCAAACAATGTTAAATGTTAATATTTTTGGCTGAAAGTGGGAGAAGCTCCAAAGAATTTAATAAGGAACAAAATGCGCAAAGATTCAAGTCAATATCTCTTATAGTTTCTGAGAAAAATCTTCGCCCGATAAAAAAAATGTGGTTTCGAGAAAAACGCGTTTAAAGTTTTGACTTTAGTTAAAACCATTTGGGGGTTCTTACCATTAGTCAGCTATGCCTGGACACCGAATTCGCTGATCGGAAAACGGCTTGGGGGGATGAAAGTATATAGTCTAAAGTACAAAAAAACGTGAAAAAAAAAAATTTGATTTTTTGAAAAAAAAGATCGGGAATACCCCCTTAACGATTTTCTAAGAAAATCTCTCGGATTTACTTCCAGTTGTTAAGCGTATTTAAGTGATTTTTGCAAGTAGTTTCCTGAAGGTCGATCGGAAGGGTAAGTGTTTATCGTTTTTTATCTCAATTCTAAGCAATGGATCATTCATATGGTATTTATTTATCAAAATTATTACTGTGCGGATTTTGATCCATACATAACAGTTGATTCTAAATCCGTACACTTGTGCATTAACAATAACGATTCTACTTATCCAATGTTTTTCAGCAGATCATGGAAGCTAAATACACGCCGGAGGATTTGGAGAAGACTGTGGCAATGATGCGTGCGGGGAAATCTTACCGAGAAGCATTCAGGGATTTAGCCGTTCCATTCACCACCATAAGAGATGTCTATTGAATCGCTAAAACTCTCTTATTTTATTCGTATTGTAAATGTTATATTATTAATATCTTTTAATGAAGAGCGTCAAGAACCAGCCAAAAAGTAAAACAACGCAGCTCCCCTACAAGATATCACCAACACGCATATACAAATTAGGGAACATGCATAAATGACGTAGCATTTGAGGGGGGAGGTGGGGGTTTCAGAATTTGTGACCGGCCATGTATTGGATATAGCCAAATACGTTACGAGGGGGGGAGGAGGAGTCTAAAATTGATCAAAAATATGCTACGTCATTGTTGCATGCTCCCTTACAGAGAGCAGACAGAAATGGGCAAGAGAGCATTCCCAGCAGTAGCTACCAGCGAGGAATGACCGGAAATACACATGAAAGTAGAGCGGACGAAAATTGATAAAGAGAACGCAAAGAAACAAAGGATTGAGGAACGACAAAAGAAAAAGGTTGAGTGAGAGAGGAAGAGGAGGAAGAAAAGGAAGAAGAGGAAAGAAAGTTGGAAGCAAGAAAGCATTATAATTTGAAAAGGCAATGGTAACAATGGAGAAGAAGCAGAATAAAGCTGCGGAAAAGAAGCAATGATAGTTCTGCATTTTTATGATTATTACTCTCTTGACGTTTTAAATTAAATTAAGTTATAGTCGTAAACTTACCAATTTTAATTTTCATGCACAAAACGAAAAACTAATCCTTGATGTCAGTTCATTGTCTTTTTTGTTGGTTTCTAAGATGGTTGTTTTTTTTTTTTTTACTTATCCGCCATTAAAGGGCTACCATTTTAGGAACCGGTTAATTTATCGCTTGATGCCAGTGGGTTGGTGAAGCGTTTCCATTATCGGTGTATTAAAGATTTTTCGGCAGTCTTCTCTTCAGTTTGCTATTATTGATTCGACTACATTGTCCAAGCTACACCGCCCAGTTTAGTCCCGGTTAATAATGTTTTGTAGCGTTGAGCTGGAGTACCCCCAAGTTCCAAAGTATGCACGTTATCACATGTCAAATTTCAAAGACCTCGAATTTGTGATCAGAGGAAAACTCTAGTAAGAATATTTAACCCAAATCACTGGTATAGAATAAAATTTGTAGGAAATGAATCCTTAAACTTGATATTAGTTAGCACAAAAATCCAGAACAGTCACCTTCTTAAATAAAAAAAAATCAGTTACCAGTTACCTATCATTATGATATTGATCCTACAGCCAAAAAATTTGTTCTTAACGGCCGGAAGTCCAAGCTGGAGCACGCGATGCTCACTATGCCTCTCTTACCCTTATATCTCCAAAACTATCCTACTGAGATTTTTTTGGACTACATTTTTGGATTCAGCGCACGATTTTACATGGGAAATGACCATCAGCGTACAAAGTTCAAATATTCTGTAAACTAGTGTATTTAAACAAGTATAGCTGTTTTGGACTCCTAGCCAAGCAACTTCTAAAAAAAATACTTTATTCAAGATAGCAACATGTTTTTTTTTTCATTGATTTGGATCGATTCACTTTCATGTACGGATTTTGATTCATCCTCAATTGTACGGATTTTGATTCAATCGTAGAACGCTGTACGGATTTTGATTCAAGATATGTGCAATTTAAATACTTTTTTCTTATATTTAAAGGTAATTTTAAGACCTGGTGTTTGCAAATAATGGAAAAATAAAGATAAATGTGAAGGAAAAAGATGTGATACAGAGCATAATGTGATAGCATTATTTAGTATTGACCGTTAATGATTCTCTCGTGCTTAGGTGTACGGATTTCGGTCCCGCACGGTAGCCGATTTAATTTTCTATATCACAGTTCTATGAGTTTTGAAAAACAATTTTCAAAAACTATGAACTATGACGTAATAGTAGCTATGTAGTAGAAAACTATGACATAGTGCTATAAAATAGAATTTTCGAGTGTACACACGATTGACTTTTTTTGTGCGTTTTTGTTCGCTTAATGAACCTGTGCACGTCACAAAAAATAATTGCAGGTAAGCAAAAATGGATACTTCCGATAACTTTAGACAAAAATAGAAAAGAATTGACGCAGTTTTAGCATACCTCATCTTGAAGAGGCGAATTACGTGGAGAAGTCGTACAATCTGGACAAAATCGTGGATTGCTCGGCGTGAAGGCTTCGGAATCTAGACTAATCTTCTGAAGGAGTTGAGCGATGAAGATCCAGAATACTACCGTAATTTTGTGAGAATAACAAAGCAGGATTTTGATTATGTCCTGGAGAAAGTTTCACAGAAAGTTCAGGCTATCAAAAATATTGCTTTCCAATTCCTTCAATTCGATATTCGTAGTAGGTATAAGTTATAGCAAGCAAATATAGCAGAAACTAGGAAACTAGTCACATTCTATCATTTTCAATCGCTCACCACATATAGGAACGCAAAATTATATTCATACGAGGAATAATAAAACCCCGCTATCAAAATTAAACGTGTCAAACTGAGAACCTCATTAATGTTATTATAAGTGCCACGATTGCCATTTTTAGAACAGAAAGCAATTCACACGCAAAACAATCGACTGATAGCAGACAATTTCGCAACCAGTTTTCAGGCGTTGCAACTGCCCAAGCAACATCAAAGTTGAGGAGGCACCTTTTTCCACTGGGCTTATCAGCGTCGCCCTTCTGTCGTTCGTGTGCATCGCCCATCACTCGCGCAGTTCTGGGTCACGCCTATCGACGGGGGCCGTCGAGGCGTCCAGGTGCTGAGGTTAACTTGTGTTTTGTTTTCTTTTGCCTCAAAATAATTTGCATAATACCTAACATGCCTATGTGAAAAAAAATAATTGCCTACCATACTAGTCGGGTGGAAACAGGATTTCTTCGGTGCTTCGGTACGGTTTAAAATCGTTTGTTTTGAATTGAAGTATAGAATTTTCAGAACCACTTACTTGCAGTCAGCGAGGCGGCAGCCGAGAAGGCTGTCGTTGATGGCACGGTGGAGGATGTCCGTCGACCATTTCCGGACGTACTGGATGAAGCAGTGCTGTATGCGATTGCACCTGTTTCGTAGTGCGATGGCCATGTGTCAGCCTATTTTAATTAGATTTCAAATAGAAAGTAGTTTGATTTGATTTACAGTATGTAATTGATGATTTTATTGCCAGGCGCAATTCCAACCCACCTGTTGACCATAACTGGACGAGATCGAACTGTAGTGATTGGCACGAGCAGCATTTGTACTCGAAGCGATCCTCTGGAATGCCGGCAGGCTTCCCTTCAGGTACTCATTCTCACTCAGACCTACTCCCGTAGGCCACATGTGTACCGATTCGTGAGTTGGACTACTGCTAAAATATTGCATTGATGTCACCGACGGAAAACTGCACCGGCTGTACGATGGACTGAAACGAAAACCGGAAAGATTGGAGACCACCATTAGAGATTTTACTCTCGAAGCGTCAGGGAAAATCGATGTTTAGTATTCATCATATTTGCCCAAACAACAAGCAAATACTGCTGAATGGGTATCAAATGAACGGATTGTTTCTGTTCTGGCACCGCCGTCGTCGTCGTCATTCAATTGACGCCTTCCCCCTGCTGGATGCTACTGAATCGTTAAGAAGTGAACTTCTTCCTTTCCTCATGCTTTGTCAAATCGCGCGCGCATTATGCAGCTGGGTCCCCATGATTCTCGCTGTGCGCGAAATGCTTAGTGGAAGTGATCCGTCGTGACGGTTTTGTTTATAGTTTGGAGTAGGTGGAATTATTCGTAAACAAAAACATCCTCTGTTTGACACAAGTGGTGTCACCCTAACTATAAACTGTCTCTGGGATTTTGCAGCAGCTGCGGAGCTACTGATCCAACAGGGTATGCAGCGGAGTTCATTGCATTTGAACCAGGAAGTTGACCATCTGATGAGTGTGGCAGACAGTTAAAAACATGCTTATGCAATGCGATAATTGCAGTTCTTGCAAGGGATCAATTGGTAGTCAGCAATTTCACTATTTAGGTACAGTTAAAAATAATTACTATGAAATGTCTTATAAATCCATGTCCAATTTAATTATTATTTTTTTTTTCAGAATGTAGGGTTGTTTTTTGGTTCAGGGGTTTTAACCGACTCCGAGTCCTAGATCAAAAGCTTGGATTCATATCGAAAATAATGAAAACCTTCAATTTATATACCAAAACCATTAAATTCTATTCAAGACAGTACAACGTCTTTGTTAGAGCAACTGGCCTTAAACTTGATTATTTATTCCGTTGAAACCCATATAACGATGCAGTTACGCTTGAAATAGATTTTCATAAATATATCGAATATACGAGCATCTTCAATGTTTCAATGACGAATTAATAATAATATGTACTAACAACAACTTTGTTTGAAGATTAGGAATTCATTTAAAATAGTTGATAAATTAGTCGGACGTTATAATGTCACTGAAATATTTATTGATCCCAAAATTTTAAAAAAATCTAAGTAACTCGATCTAATTTTTTTTCCACGCCTCAGTTCTTAAAAAGAACCAGGGCTTGCGTTTTTTGTTTTTGAAATTTTGAATCTTGGCATTTTTTTTCTAATTTCAAAGTCTTCGCAGCTCCTTAACTTAGTATGTCCAAAGTTCTCAGTGTTGAGTGTTGGAAATCAAATCTCATCAATGCCCAAGATCACGCTTGATTTTCATAGACAAAAATCAACAAGCAAGCAACTATGGATGATATAACATTCTAGGGGCTTTCGGAGATGAACCAGCCTACGGCTGAAAATACCATAAATAAAGAAAAAAAAGGTGCTGTAACAAAACTCACCAGATACAATTCTAACCAAATAGTGGTGAGTTTGAGGAGTTTCATAAGTTTTGCTTTACAGTCGAACGTGACCGGAAACTACCGTCACTGCTGGCAGCAGTAACTTCGTGTCTGCCATCGGTGAAGAGTAAAGAAAGACAGCAAACTCTCTTTCTAAGAAAACGATGAGCAACGGAACTATTTTTGTGCTTCAGCATTCAGCGCAATATCGAAGGAGCTTGTAAAATAATAATCAAGCATAATAGGGGAAATGTAGGTAATGTCGGCCTACATGTCCCTAATTTGGGCCCATACATAAATTCAGCAATCGACTAAATTTTCAATAGCGACCAAAAATATCCATTAGTACCGTCCTAATGACGCGTTCATCTAGATAAAATTGGTAAATAGCAGACTTTTAGCGATGGGCCCAATCTTAGATCCATAGGCCAACATTAGAGCCATTTCCCCTATATTGTTCCAACATCACGTGTGAGAGCGGAAAAATATCAGATGATTGATGATTTTGCCAACACTGTTTTTCGATGTCTAGGATCTTGGATCTTGGAAACGTGTGTAATCACCAACGTTTTGTAAACTGTTTAATGCCATAGATTCAGCCAATTTTTCCAAACCCCACCTTAAAAAACATACCTACCTACCTACCTACGAGATCTTCAACACGCCCAAGTTTTGAAAATTGACTCCAGCTAGTACTTTACAATGTTATCTATGTCTGAGATTTTGATGTTTTCAAAGGCCGCACTTGTTGAAAACTATTAATTTGGCTTGATGTTTTCCTGATTACTAAACCTAAGACCTAAAAGTCTAAAAACCTTTGAAAATTTTCCAAACTTGATATTTTTAAGGCTATGGATTTTTAATTTGTTTCTGACCGAGTTGTCGTATTATTTATTATTCAAATGAATTCCAGGTATCAGAATCACAAAAAATGAAACAGTGTTAGGATCAAATCTTGATATTGTTTAGAAATGATCGATGTTCGGTCTAGGATATTTGAAAAATGTCTTATGCTGAAGAACTCCAAATGTATGTAATTAATCACACCAATGGCATTCGGTGTGAGTTACTAAAACCGTTTGTTTTTCAGCTTAAGTTTCAGCTATGCTAAGCTCTTCTTTGCTCATCCCAGAAAATATCCACATCCGTTAGTAATTCGTTGCAGTAAACTGACAGCTAAACTATTACCTAACTGTCATCATCTGCATGTATTTTATTATAGATATAATGTTCCATACAGGCGATAGACGCCTTTGTTTTATAACATATGTGAGTGTCAGTTAATCACGTGCTCCTGTCGACTGAGATAAACTTGTTTTGAGGTAAGGGACTGACTTTAGACGATTTTTTTTTAACGATACTGAAACTTTATGCCAATGTCGGAGCCAAATTGGAATAATTTTCACCGAAACAACAGCCCTGGTTTTAAAATAGGAAAAAAAATCTATCACGGGCAGTATTTGGCAGTATCATTCTCAAAGCACATACATGGAGAAGATCGAATAAAATCACGTGTGAATTTGCAACCAAATCTAACGCTTGAGATTCTCATGCATTTTTGCACGCTCACGCTCACAACGCCATTTCATTCCATCATCAAATTCTTAAAATCTGGTCAAATGTCAATTGATGACATGCACATGAATGTCGGAAAATGTCCAGGTGTCCAGATCCTGAGCATGCTGTTAATGATCTTATTGTTGAAGTCTTAGTGGTTCAAAGGCTGAAGTCAGAATCTGACCACTTCCCTTGCTAATGTGGTACCACTTTCCCGGAGGTACAAGGAATATGTTCTGGTGAAGCCATTGTGCCTTGTACCCATTTCATAGATCTTCATTAAACATCGTAGAACTTTCGAAAACTTCATTAACATTCATTGTACTGTGTAACACTTCTGGAAACTTTCTAGAAGCGCAGCAAATTTTATAGAAGTTCAGCTAGGTTCGTAAAAGATCAACAAACCTTTTCAAAGCTCAGTGAACTTAACAGAACTTCAGAGAACTTTGTAGAACTTCAGCAAGTTTTGTAAAATTTCAGAGAACTTTGCTGAACTCCATCAAATATTTTTGAAAATTGGCGAGCTTTGGAGGAATTTAGCCAATTTTTCTGATATTCGGGTAATTTTGTTGAAGCTGAGTGATTTTTCTTTAACTTCATTAGACTTTTTTAAACTTCAGGGACATCGTAGACTTTGATTTTGTAGAAGTCATGCTATGTAGCAATTTAATGAACTTCGCAAAACTTGTGAATTTATTAAGGAACTTTGTGGAAGTCCAGCCAAAATTGTAAAGGCTCAGCGAACAGGGAATTTCGTAGAGGATTGATTTGGCAACTTACTGGAAGTTTTGGGAACTTTGTTTTGCCCAGATGCTTAAAAATAAATCGTAGAAAAGGATCAAGGTCTTTTCTGAAGTTTGAAAAAGGTCATGTATATTCTGAGATGTTGATTGAGAGAAGTTAGAAAACAAATTATTATGGAACCTGGAAGAAGTTCATGGAACTTCGCAGAAGTTGAGAAAATTTTCAAGAAATAAAGATAAGGGAACTTTGTAGATGTTCAAGAAATATTGGAGCTATTTTTAAGTTGGAACTTTTTAATGTCAGACTCCTTTGTAAAGATGGTTGGTCACCATGGCTCGGTGGCCTATTAGCAACAGCATTTGCTTACTGCCCAGAAGTTTGTCAATTTGATCCTAGGCACCTTTAACTGAATATGGTCACATGACGCTTTAAAAAATCGCATGTTGCGAAAGTGATGACATTCCCCCGTGGATATGCACAGGTGAAGACTATTGCTCCATTCGAACTCTTGGCCCACCTTTACTCTTCACTTCCTTCACACAATCATGGGGCATTTAACAATTTGCTTCTGCTTAATTGAAATAAGTCAAAGCTGAATTCTGTCATGTGTAAGATTAACTATTTCTATGCTGAACATTGCGATCAATCGGAGAATGAACGAGGCATTTACAAAAATTACAATGTTTCACATTCGGTGTATCAAATATTAATTTCAATGCTGAAAGGACGAGAAATCCATGAAGATTTTCATTCAAGAATCTTGCCCAAACACAATTGTAACATTTCAAACTCAACATTGCATTATGTCCTAAGTAACATTGATCAATTATCTTCGTCGAGTTTCTCTTTCGTTAATAACTTGAGCACATAACCGTTTCTTGTTGTGTTTGTCGTATTAGATGCTAGATAAAAGCTTATTTTATCTATCTGTATGCTGATTATAATAGGATTCAAAGAGAAAGCCGACGGCTTAGGACCTAATGCTTTTACATTCCTATCACATACACAAGCATTTCGATAATTTATTCATCATCACAGACTATTCACACTACTTACAGTTTAAAATTCATTCAATTCGCTATTCGCTCCACACAAGCACTATTGTCCTAGGTCAAATCTATCATGCAATTCATAACTTCATTATTTCACTGATATGTTCACTCATTCTACCAGTCTTAATTACGTGATGAAAAAATACCAGCTCAATAATACATGACAACCACCGCATCCCCACTATGAGCCTCCATCACCTACGATAGTCAATTTATCACTGCTCGGTAAACCACA